TGGAAGAAGCACACCAGCCTGTGTGATCACGAGGTGTCAAAGGGATCAGGTACCAGGCATCATCAGAACCAAAAATCATATCATAGTCAATGAGTGGGGAGTGCGGGATGGAGGCCCAAAGCCCATATGTAGGCCACTGGACATCCCCTTACAGAAGGGTCTCAGGGAGGAGATGAAGCAGTCAGGGTGCGATGTAGCAACGATGAAAAATACAACTTTCCTCTAGTTCCTAAATGCTTCCTCCTCCCCCACTATCACGATCCCAATTCTACCTTAAAAATCTGGCTAGACCAGAGGGTGTACACTGGTACAGATAGGAACTGGAAACATAGGGAATCCAGGGCAGATGATCCCTTCAGGACCAGCGGAGTGAGTGGCAATACTGGGAGGGTGGAGGGAGGGTGGGTTGGAAAGGGGGAACTGATTACAAGGATCTACATGTGACCTCTTCCCTGGGGGATGGACAACAGAAAAGTGGGTGAAGGGAGACATCGGACAGGGCAAGAAATGACAAAATAATAATTTATAAATTATCAAGAGTTCATGAGGTAAGGGGGAGCGGGGCAGGATGGGAAAAAATGAGGAGCTGATGCCAGGGGTTTAGGTGGAGAGCAAATGTTTTGAGAATGATGAAGGCAATGAATGTACAAATGTGCTTGACACAATTGATGTATGTATGGATTGTGATAAGCGTTGTATAAGCCCATAATAAAACGATTTTTTTTAAAAGTCTTGAAATTAAACAAGCAGCCATCTAGCGGGGAAGCAACAAAGTCCACATGGAAGAAGTACACCAGCCTGTGTGATCATGAAAGAATACGTATCAGAAGTTCAAAAACAAGCAACCAAATGGATGTGAAGGGGCATAGACAATGTGGAGACCAAAAAACCACCTGTAAGATCATTGGACAGCCCCTCACAGAAGGGCCACATGGAAGGGATGATATATCCAGGGTGCAGTATAGCCCTGATGAAACACATAACTGTCCTCTAGTTCTTTAATTATTCCTCCCCCCACTATTATGACCTTACTTTTACCTCATACATCTTGTTAGACCTGCATATGTCCGTTTGTATAATTAAGATGGTTCGATGCATGAAATCCAAGATAGATAAACCCTTCGGGAATTGTCATGAGAGTAATGATTTCTGGGTACAAAATGAGGGGGGAAGGGGAATGGTACCAAGGACGACTATACAACCCCACTGGAGGGCAGCGAGTAATAGAATGGCAGGTAAATGGATGCATTGGATGGTGTAAGATATGGGGGTGGGGTGGGGAAATAATAATAATAATAATATTTAATATAATACAAGGGTTCTTGGAGAGTAAGCTGCGGGAGGGCATGGTACAGGGGAGCGGATACCAAAGACTGCAAGAAGAAAGAAAGTGTTTTGAAAATGATGGTGGCAACAATTGTGCAGTCATCCTTGATCTAATTGAACTATGGGTTGTTCTAATATCTGTAGCACTCCCAATAAAATGGGGAGGGGGGAAGAAGTCAAGAGGGCTACATTTGGGGAGAAAGTATATGACACTACACTTTTTGTTTTTTTGAATACTGTACACACAGTTCTCAAAGGAAAGATATTACTGCCAAGTGATTCCCCTATGTTAAAGATTCTTTTTGAGCTGTTCCTTGCCCTAAAGATGTACAACCTGCCCTTATAATTTCATAGGAGTACCCAATGAATTTGAACTTGAGTGTCCAGCTACCAACTACCCAGAGTTTACAGCACTCTTAAAATAACGACTGTATTTAGGTTATAGAATCATAAGCTCAAGTGTGTCCCATGGGACAAGTAACGCATGCTGGAAATTGAGATCTCTAAAAGCCTGCACAGTTGCTACAGGCCCAGCGGCTGTGGTGCCAGTCAGCCTGGCCAAGACGTGTGCACACTCACATAAGGACATGGAGTTCATTCCTGGGGAATTCTAAGGCTGCAAATCTTTATGGGAGTATCTTTCTCCCAAGGAGCAGCTGGTGGTTTTGAGCTGCTGACTTTGCAGTTAGTAGTCCAACACATAACCCACTTCACCACCAGGGCACGTATTAATTCAATCCCACCCACAACAGAGCAACTGGACTGAATGGGGATTCCGGGCTGAGGCCCGACTCAGTGTGACCTACAGGATGACCCAGAGGGGTCTCCATGGGCTGTCAGGGTTGGGAGACCAAGCACCTGTGGCTCTGTGCTAGCCCACGATGAATCAGGTATTGTTGGCCCTCAACTGACATGGAAGAAGTTTTCGATCACTTGCTTGGGAGGCATCTGAAAGTAACCCTGGGAAATCCAGGGATGGGTCCCAAATGAGCCGCATGGATTCACAGGCAGCCCCAGCACACACACCCCTGCCCCGTTACAATTGCATTTCTAATGTGTGTTGGCTATACAGGATTCTAACTCCATCTCTGGCAAAGAAATACCAGTGTTTCTACAGATTGTAAAATATTAAGCAAATGCTAAAAAAAAAACTCTAAAAACTCAGATCTTCCCAACTGAGCCTATTGAGCCATGAAACATTGAATTTCTTA